AGGCTTTTTATCTGAGTGCTCTTTCTGGCCTGCGTCAGGGTGAGGACCGCTAATCAAGAAGTTCTATTACCTCTTTGTTATCTGTGGTATGTTTTGGTCTCTTGGCCTTGGGCTCCCCAGCAGTATCTTCATCAGATGATCTCCTCCTTTTACCTTTCCCTGTCAAGTAAAATAATTGAACACTTAAGCTATATTTTGACAGGAAGTGATCAAACCTGACAGCAGGTGTCTCTTCATCCCAAAGACTACTGCTTCTCGGTTATAGGTGCTTAGGAGGCTGAGGGGCTATAAGAAACTTAAGTGGCCAGGCATGGTGGCTCTCGCCTGTAATCCCAGCACTTTGGGAGGCCAAAGCAAGACGACTGCCAGAGCCCAGGAGTTCAAGACCAGCCTGGGCAACATGGGGAGACCTTGACTCTACAGTAAAATAAAATAAGTAGCTGAGGTGGGGGTGTGTGCCAGCAGTCCCAGTTACTTGGAGGGCTGAGGCAGAAGGATCACCTGAGCCTGAGCCCAGCAGTAGACATGATCGTGCCACTGTACTCCAGCCTGGGGAACAGGATGAGACTCCAACTCAAAAAAAAAAGAAAAAGGAAAAAAAAAAAAAAAAACTCCAGTAAATGATGAAGTTATCTGAAACCGAACACGTTCAAAAAGAAATTCATAATCTTTTCCCCTCAAACTGGTTCTCCTCCAGTGCCTCCTTTCACAGTAAATGATACCATCGTCCTTTCACATGTGCAAGTCACATACCTAGATGTCATTCTTGGTACCTTTCTCTCTTAACCTTTCTATATCTTTCACCAGTCTGTTTACATTTACCTTTGTCTCATCCTCCCATTCTGAAGAAAGCAAATCTTTTTTTTTGAGTTGGCTTCTCATTCTGTCGCCCAGGCTGGAGTGCAGTGGCACACTCATGGCCACCCCAGCATCCACCTGCTGGGCTCCAGCGATCCTACCGCCTCAGCCTTCCAAGTAGCTGGAACTACAGGCATGGACTACCATGCCCTGCTAATTTTTTTTTTAAATTCTAGAGACCAGGTCTCACCAGGTTGCCCGGGCTGGTCACGAACCTGCAGGCTCAGGCTCCACTTGCCTTGGCCTCCCAAAGCGCTGAGATTACAGGCTGAGTCAATGAGCCCGGCCAGAAAATCCTTTAAAAATATAAATTAGATCATTCCACTTTCCTGCTTAAAGTTCGCTAGTGGTTAACTTTGGCCTTAGGATAAAGAACAGACGCTCTATTAGGTCTTGCTTGATCTAGCCCCTGCCTGTCTTTCACCCAAGCACTAACTAGGTCTGATTCTCCTTAGCTTTGGAGATCAAATCCTTGCCTGTCTCTTTAACCACATCCCATGCCTTGCTTTCCTTCACTCACCATGCCTCAAATCTTAGCTTAAATGCCACCTTCTCAAAGAAACCTGTGCACTAAACCTCCAGATAAAACCAGTCCCGTTATATATTTTCATAACATCTCATACTTTTCTTTCACAGTACTTATCAAAGTTTGTTAATTATATATCTATGTGATAAGACATACCTTATTTGATTAAGGTATGTCTCCTATACTAGATTTGAGCTCCATAAGGGCAGAGACCATGATTTTTCCATTATCATACACCACAAGGTCTGGCACATAGCAAATATTTGGTAAATGTTCAACTGATTAATACATCTAACAATCAATCAAGAAGAATTCACAGTTAAGGCAAGTCACAGTGGGGTCAAAATTCCTCACCTATCAAGCTCAGCTTTGGAACCAGGTACATATCCTTTTCATTAACAACAAGTGTGGGGGCAGGTGGCGGTGGCCCAGGGTCCGAATTCTCAGTGTTAGGTACCAAGGGGCAGCGCTGCACAAAGTGTGTATCTGCCAGTCGCACAAACGTGTTTGATACTTCAGCATAGTCTATGGTCTTGCCATCTGTACAACAGGAGGAAAGAGGCAGGAAAGATGGCCTAAGATAGTTGAGAGTCCACTCCGGTGCCCAGCCAGTCCACGCTTTTGTTAAAAGCTGTGGACACAGTACTGACCTTCCATGGTCTCTGTGAGCCGGTCTGCCACTTTCTTCACAACAGCTGACATTGTCAGTTTCCCATTTAACAGCAGCTCCTCAACAATCAGCTCTCCAGTGTCACTGTAGAGTGTTTTGGTTGTGTAGATGTACCGGGGATACCTAAGCATTCGCAATACCTGGCTGCACTGGGCTTCATACTCCACCACTCCACGTTTGTGCACTTGGTAAATCACCAGGTTATGCTGGATGAGGACACAAAGGGCTTTTTTCACCTTGGTAGAACACAAAAGAAAAGAGAAAAGATCTGACGACATAGCTCATTAATGCTGGCAATTTTTTGTCCAAGCATCAGGATAACTAGATGAGAATCTCTGGTTATTTCCACTCTCTGTGGGCATAGCTAATAAGAGAAGGAGAAATCAGAAGATTACTTGCTATGATGCACATATGTCCTCCGATCCTTATTTTTCTTTTTTTTTTGAGTTGGGAGTCTCGCTGTTTCACCAAGGCTGGAGTGTAGTGGCATGCTCTCGGCCATGGCAGCCTCGACCTGCTGGGCTCAGGTAATCCTTTCACTTCAGCCTTCCAAGTAGCTGGAACTACAGGCATGCGCCACCAAGCCCAGCTAATTTTTTTATTTATTGTAGAGATGAGGTCTTACCATGTTGCCCAAGCTGGTCTCGAACCACGGACACAGGTAATCCTCTCGCCTTCACCTCTCAAAGTGTTGGGATTATACAGGTGTGAGTTACCATGCCCAGAGATTCTTATCTTTCAAAGCACAATTTGCTTTCTATCATTCTTATTCCTTAAAGGTAATACTGAGATTAGTACACTCGTGAATAAATGAGGTATGGCATGGGAAGAGCAAAGATCTGCCTGAGAAGCCATGTGAACTAGGAACACTTGGAGAAGCCAAATCTTGAACCAAAGTTTCATCCTCTTCCCCCTCAAATAACATTGTTCTGATCCTAGGATAGGCTTTCTCTGTTTTCCATTTTCTGGGGTGGAAAGTAATAATATTCAAAGGTAGATGAAAGAAATTAAAAAGGGCAATTCATGTCATTTAAACATACCTGATCCAGTGATGTTCCTGTGTCATGGGCAATTACTCTTAGTGGCTGGCTGCCAGTTCTGATTAGGTGGACTCCAATTTTTTCTACAATCTCTCCAAAATGCTCTTGCAGCAGCAAAGAACATAGCTTAATTTCTGCTTGCGTCATTGTACTAGGGAGTCTGAGAGCTAGGGAGGAAAAAAATCCCCAAATTGTATAATGGAAAATCTTTCATGTTGGGAGAACTGCTGAGGTTAAATTCGTGTATTCTTCCTGGAAGGCAATTTGAGAATACATATCAAAAGTCTTAAAAATCTTTCATATCTTTGACCCAACGATTTCATCTTGGATACCCTGTTCCAATGAGATAATACAAGATGTCATTAGTTTTCTTTTTAATACCAATATACTAGAAACAACATAATGTTTATCAATAAAATGATGGCAAATCCCAGCACTTTGGGAGGCTGAGGTGAGAGGAATGCTTGAAACTTAGAGTTTTAGACCAGTTTAGGAAACACAATGAGACTTCCTCTTTCAAAAACATAATTTAAAAAATTAGCCAGGTGTGGTGGTATGCACCTGTAGTTCTAGCTACTTGGGAGGCTGAGGAGGAAGAATCAGGAGGTTGGGGCTATGGTGAGCCAAGACTGTGCCACTGTACTCCATCCTGGTTGACAGAGTGAGATCCTGGCTTTAAAAAAAAGAAAAAAAAAAGACTGCATACCCATACAAGGGTATGTTATCCCAATGTTTATTTTTATTATTATTTTAAACATTTGTTATTAGTTTTTATAGTAGAGCTAGATCTATCTTGCCCAGGCTGGTCTCAAACTCCTGGGTTCAAGTGATCCTTCCTCCTTGGCCTCCCAAAGTGCTGGGATAATAGACTATGCCAACATTTAAAATGATTTAGCAAAGAATTCATTAGCATACAAAATTATTAATAACATATTCAGTGATAGAAGCAAACTGTAAAGAAAAATGTAAACCAAAATACAATTATTGTAAAAGAAAAAAAAAAGTAAAACATGTATGCATAGAAAAAAAGGCTGGAAGACATCAAATTTATCTTCATGGAATTATGTGTGTGATTATAGTTTTCTTTAAAGAATGGGAGTAGGCGGTTTTGCAATCTATCACAGGCCTCAGATTCTGCACTTCTTTGCTTGGAAGAATTAAGGTTATTGTTCACAGCCTAGTGAGAGTAAATAGGCAGTGTCTTTCCCAATCCACAAAGAACATGACAAGTTAGAAAAAGAATTTAGGAGGTAAAGGGCAGCTTCTCAACAGGGTGCTTCAAATAGAACACGAAGTTATGTTGCTTGCAGTATTATGTGTTTAATTCTGAAATTTCCACTCCTTGGCAAAGTAGACACAAACAGAAACGGACGTAGGACATGATCATTTCCTTATCACAAGCTGTTACCAAACATTGTAGATTCATTACTCCCAATTCCTTAGAAGTCAAGTCTTGGCCCTCCCACCCCCAGCTGCAGTATCGCCAGAGAGATCTATTTCATCTATCCACGTGTCTTTGGAGAAGCCTCCCCAGACCCTTTGCCAATCGCCGAAAAGGCTTTCCAAGGCGCTTGGCTCTACCCTCGCTCACACGGGGGCCCGTTCCGGACTTGGTCTCTCATTTCTGAGTCGGGGCTGCCTCGTTCAGAAGGCATTCTCCACTAACCTCAGCGTCAGTGCAATCCAGAGGCTCCACACCCAGGGCTGCCGAGTTCCCCCAAACAGCGTCTGCGAACCAGCCGGGCACCCGAGCCAAGGGGCAGCCCGCCGCACTCCAGCAGGGGACGGCCCCCAAGCCGGACGCGGAAAGGATAACGCGCACGCCGCTCTACCCTAGAGTTTCGCTGGCTTCCGGGGACGCTCTTCCTTTCTTCTCGCTGGAAGGTTGGAGGACCGGCGAGGGGCTGTTTAGGGAACCGGCGGGCGGGCCGCGGCGGGCTGACTCTCCTTCCTGCGCCTCCTTGGTGCTGGGAGGCGGGCCGTGAAGTCGCGGTCCGCGCCGCCGCCTCTCGGGCCCGGCCGTCCCACGTGACCTACGCGGGCTCTAAAGCGGCTGGCTGCACCGAGGCGGCGGCGGCGGCGGCGGCGGCGGCGGCGGCGACCGCTGCTGGGGAGCTAGCGGCCTGGCGAGGGACCGGCCGGCCGCCCTCTCGGACAGCCGCGGCAGAGGACAAAAATGGCGGAGGCTTCGGCGGCCGGGGCGGACGCGGGCGCCGCTGTAGCCGCGCACCGGTTTTTCTGCCACTTTTGCAAGGGCGAGGTCAGCCCCAAACTACCGGTAAGAGCCCCATGTTCTCTGCGCTCCCGCACCGCGTGGATTCCTGGTCACGACATCCCGGAACTGGGTTTTAAGCTCTCCGCACACCCTTGATTCCCCTGACGTGGGTCATCGGATTGCCTGCTGCCCACTGTCTCCAGTGCCTGGCGCCAGACCCCGGACGTCACGGCCTGGCTTCGTAACTCCTGGCCAGCTCTTATTTCCTCCCTTGTGCTCCACTTGCCCCCTTGTTTCCTCTCCCCTCCTTACCTGCCCCCCCATCTTTTTGTCGTGTTTAGCAAGTTCCCCTGTGACACCTCTTCAGTTTTTCTTGCTCTCTTCTGTACCTAGTCTCCTTTCCACGGTGACCTCCCCCCGTACTCTTTCTGCTGTTGTTTCTCACCTTCCTCTATTTCCTTTTCTACTTTTCACCAGACCCTCCTCCTCCCCCATTCTCAGTGAAGCAGAATAGCGGGTTGCTGAGGATTGTCCCTATTCGGTTGTCTCTAGGGAAGGAAGAAAGCACGGAAAGAGAGGGTTGGAAGGTAACTGTGGGACAGAGAGGGGGATTGTGCTTTTCGTTGGCTTCCAGGTTTCATGTGAAAGTGAAAACAGCAGTGTACTAACGACTTGCAGACCGCCTGCACCCCCATCACTATTATTGAAGGAAATGGCTTTAGGAAGAAGGCAGGACATACTGTTTCAACTTCGTTTATTTTGGTTATGCTGCCAGTGTCGTTTGTACCACTTACCTAAACCCCCCCCCCCCCAGTTTCTCTCTTAAGAAAAAGATCCAGGACAGAATGTTGGGGAGTGCTTCATCTGACATAGAATTGGTTTTCACCACTTTCTGCCAGCCTGTTTGTTAGCCCCTAGAGAGATAATGCTATGGTTGTGAAGAAAACACTTCTGCAACATAATAACCGATCCTAGCACCTAAACCCAGAAGCTATTCCGGGCTGGGTTGTTGCTACTGCCAGGAGTACCCCCACCCCCAACCTCAAGTGAATGTTAATCCTGTACTTGGCTAACTGTCTTTGTGGAATTAGTTTTTGTGGTTCTTTTCTTTAGAAGTGTCCAGGTTCAGTCTTAAGGCAGGGTAACTAGATAACAGTTTACCTCTATATTTATAGTGTCATAGATACAGTCTAAGAGAAAACTTTTAAAAGTGTGTCTGTATATCTTATTTTTTAGAAGCACAAATGGAGTCCAGTGAATAAGTGCCCAAAGGGCAGTCTGAAGTCTTTTCACCCAACAGTTTTGTTTTTGAAGGCTTTTATGGCATTTCCTTTCCTTTCTATTTGCCCCACCCCCAACTTCATAGTCATAGTTTCATCTAAATACTACTTAGTTTTGCTTGCTGATTTTGCTGTGTGTTAATGTACTTTTTGCTGTGTTTCAGTGCTAGGAAGAGCAGGTGCTCTGTTTTTTTCCAGCAGACATCAGAGCCTCCAGAACTCTCTTACCATAGAGAGGGTGTTTGGAATTTAGCCAGTGTGTGTGTGACCAGTGACATGTTGTTGAATGTGATGCTTTGTTGAACTTTGCAGACTTAGCTTTTCTGATCTTTAAGTTTCTGTTCACTATTTTGTCTTTAAGAACGAGAAGACTTAGTCTAAGATTCCATAGTTTATTATATCTTTTCTTCTTATCACTTCAAGTCCTCACTTCAAAGTTATAATTTGAAAGGCTTTATTAGGTGTTTTTCTCAGCCTTAGTTAAATGCCTGGAGACGTTATTGATCTTTTTGGCCCAATTTACTATCTGTCATATCTGATTTGTAATTTGAGTCCTAAAATATGAATATACAAATGCTTCATATATACATACAAGGTTCTTTGCTTGGTGTCCTGGAGGTGATAGGGACAGATATATGGTTCCTATCCTTAAGGACCTCATCGTTTGTTTGGAAAGACAAGGCAGACATGGAAAAAGTAACAATGTAAAGTGAATGTGGATGGATAATATTTGCTTTAGAATTCAGAGGGAGGGGTATATTGTAGCATTGGTACAATCAGTGGGTTTTAAATTGACTTTGGAAGGACATTTGATTTCAGATTGAGAATTCCAAAGGCTGAGTTAGGAAAAGGTTGAGGAAAAAGATTTAGTAAATCAGTGTTTGTTTTTTCATTTTATTTTTTATTCTTTTTATTTTTTGAGTTGGAGTCTCATGCTGTTGCCCAGGCTGGAGTGCAGTGGCACGCTCACGGCCACTGCAGCCTCGACCTGCTAGGCTTAGGTGATCCTTCCAAGGTGTTTTTCTTTTTTTAAATTGACAACTAAAAATTGTTGCCTATTATATTTTTATACTGTATAACTTGATGTTTGATATATGTATACATTGTGAAATGGGTAAATCAAATGATTTAACATGCTACCTCACATACTTTTTTTTAATGGTGAGGACACTTAAATCTACGTCTTAGCAATTTTAAAATATACAATATACTGTTATTAACTGCAGTCACCATGATGTACTGTAGTGAATAATTGTTATGCCTTTTTAGGAAAAAGTGCAATAAAGTCAGGGTCATGGTTCTGGTTTGTATATGAGCTAGTGAATTATATCTTGTTTTGTGGCCATTTCTATATTCTTAACCCCAAACAGTCATTTTGAAAATGTTGGTTGTAAAAATGACCAGATCAATAAGTGGCTATTTTAGTACAAATTTGTCCCTGCGGCTGAAAAACCAACTCAAACACTGGTAGGTCAGAAATGTGATTTACATATACTTGTATATATCTCAGACAACACTGAAAAGTTTTTAAAAAAATAGTTTATGTAAACTTGAGATTACCTCACTATAGTACCCAGTATACAGTGTAGGTATGCATTGTTTCTTGAACTGGACAAATGTTACGTGAAACCTGGGTGTTTTGCCGAGGATAGCCAGACCCAATTTGTCATCAATGAAGTTTTTCTTTATCTTCATTGCATTTACATCTCAAGAGGTTACTAACTCTTGTTGTGATAGTTGGATGTCAAGAACCATCATTCATGAGTGCTATCCTCACTGAACACCAAAGACTAGGTTTTGAGTTTACATCAGCTTTTAGTAAGCTATTACTAGGTTTCTTCACCCATTCAGTGGGAAGGACTGCCTTAGAACCATTTCATCTCTTGATGTATTCACCACATAGCAGAGCCATAATTGTGTTTAGGGCAGCTACGTTGTAAGTTTAATAACTTTTCTCTTATTTTTCTCTCTTTTCAAGTCTCTGAGATATAGCACTTCTTGATACATTTGGAAGTGTGTGCAGGCAATAGTAACTTACCCAAGATTCAGTCCTGAAGCTGCCCTTAGGCTTTTGCTTATTGTTTTCATGGTCAGTCCTCCTGCTCAGAAGGATTTATGGGCCTAGCTCATTTTAATATCTAAATTAGGAGCAAGACTTTTGGTGATAACTTCTGAGACTGATTGGAGTATGTCTAAGGCTATGTAGGTTAAGCCATCAGTAGGCTGAATTCATTTAATTTAGTGGAATAGCATTCCTCCTTATTGCTAATCCTGATGAATCCATTTTAGCGTTGTGTGTCTTTGGTTTGGATCCTCCCATATAAAAGGACAAAAGTTTCATTTAGAAAGAAGGTAAGGAGAAATCATAAAGATAATTTAAAATGAAAATATATTTAGTGGCATTATTATCCGTTAGGCTTCAAGAGAGGGTCTCCATTCCAAGTGAATATTGGTTTAAGAATTCCTCTTTATTAAGTGTTTTCCTGTTTATCGTGAAAATAATTTTAATAAAAGTTGTGAGTACTAAACTTCAGTTTTAAAATAAGGGATTTTGTTATATGGCCTGAAGCCTCAGGATTTCAAGTTTCTATAAGATTGGGTAAAATGGCATTGTATATTTTTTGGACATCAGATGGTAGAATAAATACTTAGAGTAACTCCAAATTATTATCTTCTGCGGAGTTCCAGCCTCCGCTGAGCAGGGCCTGAGGTGGGGGGAGGGAATGAGAAAGAAAGAGACAGAGAAACAGCGGGATTGGGAGGACTTTCTCCCAGGTAGAAAGGAGCAAGAGAGAGCAAATTTATTTTCATCACATGCCTCTTATATAGGGCAAAAATCACACAAGGGAGGGCAAAACCAAACAAGCAAGATATATGTTAATGTCTAACTATGCTTATCTTAACGTTTATGCTAAGTTAAAAGCAAGGCAGTCCCTTAAGACAGACAGCCTCCTGTCTAGGCATGGCACCGCTCTGCTATCCATGGAATAGCAACCAAAGGTCAGGGAAGACAAAGGAAATATAGGCTTGGTTCCTTGAACACAAGCCAACAAACATAAGGACCTTGTCAGCTTATGCTTTGGTTTCCTTCAGTTTTCAAAATAGCAGAAGCTTCTAGCTCACCTGATTATCCTCTTGAGAGACACTGTGAAGCCAAGACTGATGGAGCAACTATGCTACATTGAGGGGTGAACTGGGTATCATATCACAGAAAACTGTGTCATGGAATGTAAAGTTGTCATTCCATCTCTGTACCCCACTACCCACATCCTTCCTCATTAAATCAAGGTCAGGAATATTACCTTATGAGACTGAATCTAGTCGTTTTTCTTTAAATTGTTGATATATCCGTTCCTGGGATGGGAAGTGACAAAAAAAAAAGGTGGACACAAATCATATGCTTTTGATAGTGATGAGACTAAGGTGGTTCTTAAATATTTTAGGGAGATTGGAGTAGCTCCCAAATCCAGATAGAGACCAGTCTAAGGACTGCTTACCTCAGATGCTCTATCTGAAGAAGCTATGTAGTAGTAGGCTTCTGTCTCTCTGTCTCCTTATTATATCACCTTCTTTGAGCTAATAAAGTACCATTCTTGTCAATAAGTAATGTTATCTAGTTTGTAGCTCCTTTACCAGGTGCTACACAAGGCATTAATCATTGTGTTGTACTTGTAATGACTATAATATAGGAAAATGTTCAAACTACCTCATAATAAGAGTAGCTAAAAAGTAGATTTCTTAACGACTTTGTGACCCTTAAGACTCTAAGCACACTGACTTTGA